CTCCTGTTTTCCTTCCACAGTAAGCTCTCTGCCATCGAGATGCACATTCAGCTCCTCGGGACGGAACTGGGATACATCTAGCGATACCGCAAACTTCTTGTCATCATCGACTAGCTGTAAGATACCCGGATTGTAAAGTAAGACCCTAGAACTTTGAACAGTACAGATATAACCTGCTGGGTCTCATTGGCCACATGAAGTACAGAATGATCAGCCTCTCTCCAGTATGGGTACATCATGCGATCAAAATCGCGCATGTATTCGTTCATCATACGATTCATCACACGTGGCACTTGCCAAAGATCCATGTTCTGGAAAAGTTTCATACAGTAACAAAGCACAGCTTTTTTGCGGATATATCTCTCATAAATGATGATGCATGAAGATAACGATACGGTGAGTTGAGGCAGTTTATTTAGGTGAGAAGGAAACAATTTTTCAAAAATTCATTCTTAATGTGGTTATTTCGGAAGTAAGTCATTCGATAAACCTAAAACCCGTTTGAACCAAGTATTCATAAGCTTTTATCATTGAGTGACTGTTTGGGAATGGAATGATGCCGTTTGAAAATTTTTACGATAAGAAAGATTTCACACTTTTTATAAATCACTAGTCGTGCACGTGGCTACATTAGTATTGGCTGCAAGAATCCACCCAAATTTCTTTCTCTTTAGGGGATGAATGCTACCTCTTCTCTCGTTTTCCTATGATTGTAGAAAAAGTAGTGAAAAGAAGGATACAACTTGCGCTGATAGTATTCCGAAAGAACCCGTTATTGCTTATTTTTCTTCTTTTTTGGTACCGCCCCATATAAGTTGCGAAATATGCTGTGTAGCCACCATATGATGCAACTCTCAAAAAATAACGCATAGCGAATTACAAGATAAGGATCTCCGAAAGTTTGCAAATGACTCTGAACGCGTCAAGTTCTTTTTGTACTTGCACTATAAAAACTTGCAAAGACGCCGAAGACACTTTGCCTTAACCTGCTAGCCCGAAGATTCTAGAGCTTTGGCCGATCGATGACGACCAGATACACTCCAAGGTACACAGCGAACTGCTAAGATTACTGTAATGAGGTCAAAAGTGATTTGAACTCACGACAAATAGGCGCTGCGAAAAAAAAAGGACCAAATAGTTGCGTCAACTGCGGCGAGATCATATATCTTCGTAAACCATCGATCTTGATCCATACCGTAATTTGTCAGGACTTCATCAATTTTTGTTAATGTGAATTCGCTGCACAAGTGAATCCTTACTGACTGCGAAGAAAAAACGTTGCTAAGGTAACAAAAGTCTTATGCAACACATTATGTTCCAACGACAACTGGGAAGTCGCATTTGACTTTCAACCCTTGAAGGAAAAAGCCAGCCACTGTAAATAAAAATCGCAATAGCCCTTTCCTGGGGAGTTATTTAGCAAAAATTCGGCACGGTTTTACGTTAACGAGCTCCTGATTGGGAGGTGGATGCTCATTTAAGGTAAAAGAACTCCGGATCTGAGAACAGAAGTATTGACTGCCACCCTGGTTAGTGATTCCACAAATTCTCAACTCAGCCGTACCAATGAGATACAGAAGAATACCAGATAAATTTGTAGTTTCGTAGTACGTTGCTAAAAGTACCTGATAACTCCACGCAAAATCCCGAAAATTCACAGAAAATTTTTGAACAATTCAGCTTGTGCAACAGCCCTTTGTTACGATGCTAAACACATCAAATTTCATTGAATTTCGCAGTAAGACGCATAAATGGGGTTTTCTTGCACACATGCTATAACTGGCATCTTGTATATTTTATATTTCAAAAAGAAAGTCAGAAATGAGCTAACAAAAGCACATTATGACCTTTACGTAAGGAACGGAAGATACATTCTAAGAGCAGTTCACAAAGAGGGACTGGAGCATGGCTCAAATCACATTTGTATGAAAATGTCAAATCTGCTCGGGATAGCAGTAGTTCTCATCGTTGAAGTGCTATTTTAAGTATTTAGAAAAGCAGACCAAAGGAACCTTAAGAAACGAAGAATATTTGTGGCGGGCCGAGGGTGAGCGACCGGGGAGGGGTTCTTCTCCCCCCAAGAATGGATGGCGGAAATCTTGAAAATTTACCAACACAGATTATTCATTGTGCAAGTATTTCGTTTTCATTTTTGAGCGACTAAAATGATTCTCAAAATTTTCTCAAAACAGTTTTGTAAAAAGTATTTAGGATATATAAAACCCATTCAAAAGTTGAGAAGAAACCAAACTAACGCCACACCCGCCTCTTCACCTGAGGAAATTTCTATCGACCCCCCGCCCCCCCCCCCCCCGAGATTATACAGGGTGTCCCAAAAAAATGTTTAGAACGTTTGATCGTTAATATCTCTCTTCCCAGGAAGTCTTTTGCCTTGCTTCAGGTACCGTTTTGTAGAGCTGGCTTCAACTTAGATTTCCATTATAGAACGAATCACCCATCTCTCTTCATTACTGTAGGGTTACGGTAGAAACTTGAAACATATGGTGTCAATGTGGAAAAAGCTGCCGTTTCAAAATTTTTCAAAAAATTGTGAAAACTTGTGTAATAGGGTTTTTATAGACGCTGAGTTCAATACTCAACTATTCACAAGATTACGAAGCTTTCTAAACGGTGTAATCGCACTTTTTAGGAACATTGAAAAAAAAAAGGCCGCTACCTCTCACCTGGCATAAGTCTTCAATGAAGCATCATAATAAGTTGGGAACTTTACAGTTATGATCAGCAACTCTAATTAACTTAGTGTAAAAGCTTTCAGGCTGTTTTGTTTCCTTTCTGAGGCAAAATATGGCCTTTCGTTGCTTAAAACCCCTTTTGAAGTTTCTACCGTAATCTTACAATAATGAAGAGAAATGAGTGATTCGTTCTATAATGCAAATCTAAGTTGAAGCCAGCTCTACAGGATGGTACCTGAAGCAAGGAAAAAGACTTCTTTAAAAGAAAGATATTAACGATCAAACGTTCTAAACATTTTTTTTGGGACACCCTGTATTTCTCTAACTGCCATTGATGAATTGGTAAAGCAATGTGCCGCAGTTGCCTACACATTGACATACAATCGTCAAGGCATACAGATTTTCGGTAAAAAAAGATTACTTCACAATCCCCCCCCCCCTCGTGAGCCAAGGTTTAAAAGTTGCATCATAGGCAGAAACCTGCTCCAGACATAGCAACCAAACAAACAAGTAGAACATGAGTGCAAACGATGTCTGACGCTTCTACTTTCAGTTTCTGCGCGCCAATAGTAGGCATGGCGAAAGTGCAAGCTAGATACAATCAGAAACAGCGGGAAACCGAATGTTACAGCGAAAATGTTACTCGTAAAAATTTATTGCGTGGATGCGGCAATATGTATCTGTTGAATTTGTAGCAACGAATGATTTTGTACCGATGACAAATGCAAATATTCAGGAAAAAGGGGTCTTTCGGAAACATTCGCTTCTTTTCTGATGCAAGCATGAAAACGACGAGGGTTCTGCCTAATACTGAAGGTTTGGAAAACCGTCATAGCAGCATTTGGATGAGAATGCTTAGCTTTTGACCGAATCTCGAGGTTTGTTCAGACCTTGAAACGGATTAGTTTTTCATTCTGAAGATTTCGAAGCAGTGGAAGTGGTTTGACCGTTTATTTTGACTCTCTCATGCGAAACTTGAGCTCCAGCCCCTAACTCTCCTCCCTCTCCCCTAAGAATGGTCTTTCTTGAAAATAAACGAAATGAATTTTCAAGTTTGAACAAGTTTTGTAAAAAATCAATCCGAGTGCGCGCAATGATTTTGAGAAGCAACTCGGAGAAGTTCCTCCCAAAGCCATGGCGATGGAGGAACTTCTTCTTCGACTGATATGTCGTGCATGCGGGAGATATTTTTAGCCTCCCCCCCTCCCTCCACGTAAGTTTCTCGGGTGCCTCCTAATGAGGAGCCGAAACTGTAAGCTGCAAGATTTCAGCGCTATTATTAGTCCCCTCCCCCCCCCCCCGTTAATCCCCCTCCCAGATTATTTCCCTTCAAAGCTTTCCGTAGCTAGAGATTTATGCCAATACTTCTTCTAACTGAAACTGAATGACGATTTACAGTTACAGTCCTTTCTCAAGAAGATTCCGTAGTACGGAAGGGCCGCTTGATTGTTAAATTTTCGGAAGTTGCAATTAGTTAAAGAAATTCACGAGTTCTCTGAAAGAATCGCTCAACAGATGAAAGGGCAAAATCCGTATAGCGAGGACATTCTATAGAATTTTAGAAAGTCAGGCAAGTGGTAGGTAGACTGGACTTGTAAGTGACATTGTTTAATAATCTAAGATTTCAAGATGAGATTTGGGAGTTCTGGGAAGAAAAACATCACCATGGAGACAGCGAATGACTGAAGAAGTTTAAACGAGTAGTTGTACCAATTTATAGGGTAACTCGACGTGTGTACCTGTACTAACAGGTGAAAATACGATGTTTGACAAGTTTGACAAGTCTGCACCTGGAAAAAACTAGTTTTCACGGGTCTGCAAATAATCAAAGACTATTGGTGGTACCAAACAGAGTATAAACAAAGGAAATTTTTGAGAAAATCGATATTTGGAGGGGAACTGGAGCGCGCTAGCTTGTCATCTATTCAAAGCGCGATTGTCCTTATGGATAGACAACATAGAGCCTAAAAAGCAGCCTAGAGACCATACAATAACATAGAGGCCAGGCATCAACAGATATTCGCGTGCTCCCAATGTCAAATATTTTCGATTGCCCTTTTCCATGGATTATTCTCGAAATTGCGCCACATTTCCATGCACAGCAGCCCCCAACGGTCTCGGCCGTTCGATTCGATCGACTATGGCACAGACGACGACGACGAGTGCACGCGACGAACGCCGTCAACAATTTTATTGACCGAGTTGTTTTCCAACTCGGACGCGGCGTGTGTGTGTGCGTCTAAGTGTCTGAATAGTCGAGTTTCACGTACTACTGCTTAGTTACGAGTCTCCTGCTCCAGAACTGCAATGCCGCTTTTCCTACTACCGTCTACTGCTATATTCCCGAGACTTTACGATGAATTGTTTGATGATTACGACCCGCTGCCTGCTATAGTGCACCATCATGAGGACAGAGGTTCACCGCCTGCGAAAAGAAGTCGTAGATCAGAACGTCAAGTGTCGAAAAAGAGTCCCAGAAAACATGTGGATGAGGTAAGTAAAATTTGTGAAATTTGCTAGACCAGTTGTTCTCTTTGTGCACATGAATTATTTTACCTTCTTTTTCGATACACTTCTTCAACAATCTTCTTTTTCCAAGATCGGTGGATGTTCCCTACGTTTTTTTTATGTTTATATCCTGATGAAACAAATGTATGCAACCTTTGACGCAAATAATTAGCAATAAGGATTAGCATCGACTGATGACGTGGAAATTTTTAGTGAGCGAAATACTGGTTTTACTGCAAGGACCTGGCAATGAAGGCCAAGATGACCATGCAACTTTTTTAAAATGAAATCTATTTGGTTGAAAAATTAATAACAACTTAGGTCAGCGACAGTCCTATCGAGTTCTAAAAATCAACTTTTCGCTGTATCTGCAAGTTTTAGAATTTTCTCGCCAAAAGCAACTTTCCGCTTCATCATACTTTGACCGCTTCGTAAAAAAAACACTTTTTGGCTGAGAAGAAGAAGTACCCCATTTTCGAATTTGAGCAAGATTCTAGCACAAAATGCTGCCTCGAAATTAAGGGCCGTTCACTTACTCTTATAGCTAACAAGGAAATGATACTTGGTGTCCGTGGCCCTTTGAGTTGAAATACCATTACACTAGAGCGCTGATTCCGAATCTGACTTCCGTTTTTGGTAAACGCTTCCCTGAGAAAAATTATGAAGGATTTTCGCGTTAAGGGAGAAGTGGTCGGAATGCCAAAATCGCCGCTAAGATGTGGTGTAGTGGCTAGTGCGATAGCCTCGCAAGTTCATATTTAGTTTCGAGTCCTCTTCTGTTTCTCAATTTCACATTGGCTCATTCAAGCTTCTTTTTGAAAGTTAGCCACCCTCGACCGTACTTCTCTTGGGCGACCATTGACGCGAAGATCCTTCATAACTTCTTTTAGAGAAATGATTAGCAGAAACGGAAGTTAGATTTGGATCGCGTTTCAAGACGAGTGTGATGGTATATGTTTCATCTCAAACGGCCGCGGACACCAAGTATCGTTCCCTTGTAAGAATAGCCTAACTAAAGGACTGGGCATACTTTACGCGATTTCCGTCGCGACGCAATCTGGCAATTCGCGAGAGGTCTTCAGATCCAACATTAGCACACTGCACACGCATAGTGTGTATAACTTACGTGGAATGGTGAAATGCTTTATCTCTTGTACATTTGAAACAATGTAGCAAAAAAATTTTTTTTTGTTTTCATGCTTTGTAGGCCATGAGTTTGCTTAGACACCTTCAAGAAGAACCATTCTTTCGTACAAAATACACTCCGAAATCTGTGCAACATACTAGAATTCTAGCAAACCGACTATTCGGTCTCGTTAAGTGTACAAAGTCATCAAAGTGATGATACAATACGCATGAAGTGGTTTATCTAAAAAATTGTATTGAACGGAGCAGATTTACAAAGCTAGAGAAGAGTACGATTTTGCAAAAATAATGTGAACTTTTGAGTCACTTGCTAAGGAGGGTTAGGCATAAGTGAATTAAGTTTCGAATGGTATTTCGCGATTTTCAGCAGCCTGCCTTGGTGAAATGACACATATACCTTTTAAACTGAATTGCAAATATCCTTCGGATGGATCTCCCCTCCCACCTCCTTTTTTGTTCTATGAGCATTGGTTCAAGCTCACTTCGAACTGATAGATACTGTTTTAGATTGTTGACGACGAAGAGAGACTAAAAATCTCTCTCAATGTGGGCAATTACAAACCTGATGAGCTGAAAGTCGATCTTGATGGAAGAGTTTTGACCGTAGAAGGAAAACAAGAAACCAAGGATAAGGACGGATATTCTATGAGGTAATTTTTTTTTCCTTCGCATTGTTTATTATCTACGACTTCTAGTCGAGATTTTCCACAACTCAAAATTCTTCGAAAATTTCAGATGCTTCACCAGAATGTGGGAGCTCCCATCGAATGTCAACCTAGAGCTTCTCAAATCCAGTATCACTAATGATGGACGTCTGGCCATTGAGGCTCCGAAAATCACCAAGCCCATAGGATCGGCGAAAAGAATCCCTATCCAGAAGGCCTTTTCCACGTCTGATTGAAGTGCTGTCAACAGTCCTGCGTCAGTTGTTTTTGGGCGCAGAACCATTCCGTCACTCTGTGTGATCTCTAGACTGCACTTTTATGTATGTACGTTCACCTCTCCACTGTCCATCTACCTTCTTTCATTTAGTCTAGATTAGAGTACATCATATTTGGGGCCCAGCTGCAGATAGCAATCTATCTACAAAAACGCCAAGTTTATTTCCCAAAAGGAACCCTTCTGGCACCAACATTTCATTCTGTGAATGTTGACCGTGAACCATGCTCTGCGTTTCTATCATTTGTAACTCTAAACCGTCTTTCTATTTTTGAAATAACGATTAATAATCACATGCTCGATTTTTTCAAATCAACAAAAAATAAATCCTGTGTGTTACATTGTTAATTCTGAATAAATCCTGTATTTAAATTGTCTTGTTTTTTTGTTGTCGTATTTCATACTGTTTTTGACAACTTTTTACATTCACAGTGGTTCAAAAGCTGTTTCTTTTTTCTTGGAATAAGAAAGAACTATCTCATGAGCCGTTTCGAGCACGTGTTTGTGGAACTGGAACATGATCCTTGATATCGAGAATCTCTCGACAACTTTATATTCGAGTACAGATTTTGAAAGATCAAATAGGTCCGCTTGAATAGTCCTTTCTTAATGAAGGATTTTGTCTACGATTCTGCTGCAGTTCCGAGATTCAAAAGCATTCCTAGCTGAAATGGAGGTTGGTAATTGAGAAAATTGGAGAGAGCTATCTGTGCCAATATTAACTCTGGCGTTGAGATATCACTATCCTTTTTTTTAGCATTTCGAAAGGTTTGATCAGTTATAATATTGACTACAATGTAAGACTAAAGAATTACATTTCATGTTGAATTATATCGCATAATATTAAGTCGGTGCAAAAGTTCTGTAATTTTTTGGACCGCAAATCCCGCAGTTAAGATAAACAAACATCTCAAGCGTATCCGATAGGTTTCAAAACTCGCTTATGACTACTGCTGACCTTACAAAGTAAATGAGCGATTTTCGCATCAAAATTTAAAGATTTTGAGACGTAAGGTTTATCGGTATCAATATCGCAGGTCTCACCAGGAAAAGACAACTGTTGGGAAGAGGAAAAGATGCATCGAATGGTACCTGAACTGCATGCCATTTTGTGTTAGCAGACTAGGCGGGATATAATATTTGTTCACTTTAAATAATACATATCATAAGAACTCTGAAGTACAAGCCAAGAGCTGCAAGAAATTGCTTTAGTTGGCAAAGGTCTGCCCTATCTGCGAAATTTTGAAGCTCCAACAAAAGTTTCATATAAAAATTTTGAAAATTAGCGAAAGTAGGACATGGTGAAAACGAAGGGTTGTAATTTCCAGCAATTGTCTCAACATTCTTTTAATAAATCACACTGGAAATATAGCAGCTGGAAAGAGGAAGAAATTTTGTATCTAATACAACTTGAAGTGTTTGTTTACCGTCACTACATTGGATTTGAGGATCATTTCAAAAACCGACAAAACTTTTGCACCGATAATATTTCGTAGAAAGTTTTTGCCTTATCCACAATGATTTTTTCTGTGAGGGAGTCGATGCATTTAGCTCCGCCCAGATCTTGTTTTCACACATAGAAGAGCAAAACATGTGTCCAACTGTGAAAATAACATCCAGCATGAAAACATGCGTCACTATATTGATGCATATTCACACACGTGTCAGGGCAATAGCTATCATCCAAAGCACATCGATACTCGGGAGAGGGAAAAACAAAAAGTATTCGAGCAACAGAACCCATCTAAAAGCACACTGACCGCAAAATTTGCTAGTTCAGTAGTACCCAAGAATGGAAAATACGTATGTGAGCTGAAAATGAGGAAAAATAACTAAAACTGGGTTGTTTATAGCAAGTACATTGTCCGCGTTATTTTGGGTATTCAAATACAGAAGTCCATTTAGCTTCAACGTGATAATAATTATGCTACAAGTCTAGGGTGCATTTTTTCTTCAGAATCCTGAATAGCTGCAATCATCAACGTGGCTGATCCGATGTGCTCTTTCCATCCATCCTGAAATTGTTCTTTCTTCTATCATTGTAGTCAGCCGAGACTTCAAATTAGGTTGGTGCAGAAGTAATGCTCGTTTTGCGAGTTCTCACTTGGACGTGCTATAACGCTCTAAAAAAATTATATATCTAATGCTATAAAGACTATGAGAAGCAGCAAACCTTTCGCAATACAGCGCACGTCCATCTATATTCGTATTTCAAACTCGCAGAAAATTATGAATTGGTAGGCAAACATGTTTTTTTTTCCTGAAACCTCGTATTTGACTGATCATAACTCCATTCAAAATTTGTTAGTATAAATGGCAAGGGGTCTATCTTGAAGCCTCAAGCCAATGGTACAAACGACAATAGAAAGAGGATTTGAAAGAAGATCAGCAAGAAGAAAAAATAAAAATCTAAGATTGTCACTTTCTCAACATATTTCCACAGGCCCCAATTTCCTAAATTATGGAGTTCTTTCGATTTTTTGCGTGCTGAACAACTGAATATTTTTGAAAAAACTGTCAACAAGAGACACCCTCATGCTTACAGAAATGAGCAAAGCTGTGGCTAAAGCTTTCTTTAAAGGAAATTTATGGGCCTCAGAGTGACCAAAATGACTACCCATGTTGAGGCGCCAAAATCTCAGTTTAGGTAATTTCTAAGAAAATAGTAAAACGTGCATAATGTAGAAGATTTCTACCACATATGGTAGTTGAACTTCCAAAAGAATGCATTCATTCGCGCTTGAATTCGGGCCAGAAAAGTAAAGATAATGAAATTCTGGTTTAGACTGCGGTTGTTCAAAGCTTTTTAAATTTTTAACGAATGAGGCTAGAAGCTGATTTCAAACACCAATGGATAGAGCATGATGTGAGCTTCTTGATAGTATGCTAAGTTTTATTTAAAGAAAAAAGTTTGATGGGTAGAAGTTGTATTGAAAGAAGGGCTGGAGAAACGCGCATGACTTTTGCACCATTTAGAGTTCTAGTTTGCATAGCGTTCGCAGAGAAGGAAATCGGTTTATCTCACCTGAATTTCAGCTTCAACAATAAATGATAACTGCAATGGTGCAGATAGAAACTATCATCGGTAGAGAAAGCTAGAGCAGAGGGACAGACGTTATCAAAAAATTTGTCTTGTTTTTTATGCTTTTCCGTTGTCGATGTTTGAGTTGAGCGCCATTGTGACTTTTGTTCTGTACGCGAGTCACCGGTTTACAATTGGTAACCCCTTTGCAATGGATGGTGAAAAAGCCTAACAGCTACAGTTCAACATGGTAACTTCAAAGCTACCGTAGCCTTGTATCTCAAGGACGAAACGCTGACCGACCGCTCATTTCCCCCTAAGTGATCGTGCAAGTGGAATGTGGCTACGCAAATGAGCATAGCCTACTATGGATTTTTGAAAAATTTGTTATTGACCGGGCATTGTTCGCGCAATTTCAGTCGCGACAATGATTTGGCAATATTCCAAATGTTCATAACTCAATGTAAGGACATTTTGAATGCACAGAAGATGGGACATTCTATCATTCCACTTCAGTTATACACACTATGCATGTGCATTTTACTAGTGCTGAATCTGAAGACTTCTGACGAATTGCCAAGTTCTGGTAAATATAGCAAGAGTGTGTTGGTAAGCTACATATTTATTAGCCACAATTTACAAATAAGCACAATTCGATTTAACAGTTACTTAATAATCACGATGCACACTGGATACAATGTAACACTTGAATACAGGACGATTTTTATAGTATTTACATGCACTGAAGATCTTAGGTCATCTCTGGCACGCATTTTCTTTACTTCTTCGACGATGGAGCCGCCATAATCGGAATGTTTCTTCTGTTGGGTTTTTCAGCGTTTTGCTTCGGTGCCTCGACACAAAGATGGCCTTTGTCGCTCAGTTGGGTATGAACTGATTCCAAGTCAACATTTTCGGGAAGAGTCCACTTGCGAACAAAAGATCTGCAATTATAGAAATATTTTAGTAATTCCGCATGAAGTAAATTTTCCTTACCTGTGGATGAAGCTATTGTCACCCTTATGCTCTTGTTTTCCTTCAACGGTCAGCTCCCTACCATCCAAATGTACATTCAGCTCTTCGGGACGGAACTGCGAGACATCCAACGCAACAGCGAATTTTTTGTCATCATCGACTATCTGAAAAAGTGTACGGTATGGGCAGAAGGTTACGGTATGGGCACAGCTGACTGACCTCCTTAGCATCATTGGCAACATGGAGAACAGAGTGATCAGCATCTCTCCAATAAGGGGATATGCTTCGATCCATGTCACGAACATATTCGTTCATAAGACTATTCATAATACGGGGTACTTGCCAGATTTCCATGGTGAGTGAGTGCTTGGAAGTTGCTGAAAATCCAAATATTTTGTATCGGAATCAACATTTTTCAAAAAACGGGGAGATATAGCACAGAAGGGAATTTGTGATATAAATTTTACAGAAAGGAGATGACATACCAAAAATTACAGATGTCAAAGATCATGCACTAATCTGAACTGAAAATAAAATGCTGTGAGAAAAGGGCTACTTCAGTCCAAACTCTTTCAAAACATATTATTGTCGATTTTTTCATTACAGCTGCCACGTGTCAGATAAACATTGGCGTCAAGTGAAGGTACAAATTTATTGTTGATCAAAAAATATCTAAAAACTGAATATCTCTTTAAACTATTCGGCGAGCAAAAGGCTTTAGAGAACAGAACAGAAAGAAATGTTGGCCGCTACGAAATAAGGTTGTAAGGAGCACGAAAATGCCTAGGCGAACGAAAATGCCTAGGCGATTTATTTTCTAAATCTGGTATTCATGAGAATTTTCCGAATAAATTGCTGGAACATTTCAGCTGCCATATAATGTGAAAAATATGTCGCAGCAAATAGAGTATTTCATAGGGAACCAAGTAAAATCCAGATTCTCTGGGGGCACATAAATATCATGGAATAAAAATGAGAAAGCTTTTCACATCAAAGAATACTTTATCATTGAACCTAAAATTACCAGTCACATAAAACCTACCCAATTTCTGTCAATAAGGACATGTTACTTTAATGAATTTTCAACTTGTGATCTACACTGTGGTTCACAGACTGTACCGATGAACTAAAAACAAATTTCTCACTCAAGAAAGTGTTTTTTCGAATTGCTGACCGAAAGTGCACGAGGTGCCTTCTGTGAATTTCGAAAAAAGGGAGCAACTATTTCGGAAAAAAAAGTTTTGTTGTGAAACAGTGATGGTAATTTCGTCTAGAACTTTCGAAAATATGACAAAGTGAGATTTCATGGACTATCATCTCCTTTTCTCTAGCAAAAAAATGGATATTTAAAAAAAAATGTTCCACACTATTGCGATGTTGGCAATAATTACATACAAATCAGACGAAAAATGCTAAACAAAGCGTTCAGAAAAGTAACCTCATGTTTTGATCTACAACTATATTCCTATATATCAATACTTCATGCTAACCCTACGAGCTTCTATTCAGTATTCAGCACACAAATAGAGAGAAAAGTAAGGAGAAAGAGAGTGAAAAAGGGAAAACCATGACGTAAAGATACCATTGAACTTTCGAAAGTGTATAAACAATTTCGCAAGTACCTTAACGAAACAGCAAGCCGAACTGCTCAGCCTTATATACGGCATCAGAAGAACGTTCCAGACTGGGCGGAGCACACGCGTTGTTTACTCCACATTTACGTCGCGTCGCGACTGTCTGCGATCATTCGGGAACGTTCGCGAAGGCGACGGCCGCCCCCTTATATAAAGGCCACCCGGAGCTAAAGCGACACACGCAGTCTTCTAGGTCTGTAACTCCCGAACAGAATGTCTATGTATTTCGTACCACATCATCGTCCCCATCGATGCTGCAATCATCATTATCGCGAACCCGATTTTCTCGATACGTTCTTGAACGATTTGGATCAAGTCGAATTGGCGCTGATTCCACTAGAGGCTGCTATGATGGAAGAAGAACACCAGCGGAAAGATGAAAAGAAGCAAGAATCTGCTGGACAAGGAGGACAGCAGAAAGATGCTGGACATGGAGGACAGCATAATCAAGTTCAGAAACAAGCGGGTGGAAGAATGAGCAAGGTAGGATCTGCGAATTTCTCCTTTTTCACGTGTTACTATAATTTTGTTTCCCAGGTGGAAGATGACAATAACAAACTAGCAATTTCCCTCAATGTTGGAAAATTCAAGCCCGAAGAGTTGAAAGTCGATCTGGATGGAAGAGTTTTGAAAGTGCAAGGCAAGCAGGAAGTCAAGGATGACAATGGCTACTCGCTGAGGTAAATATTTTGGCTCAGTTCTCTGTCTGGGTCCAAAAATCTCGAAATCTCGAAAAATCTCGAAATCTCAAATACCTCTCAAACGTGTCTTAGCGACCCGTCATACTTCGCCGAAAAAAAGCCTAAAAGCGCTTCAAAAGCCCAAAATAGCCAGAAAAAGCCTAAAAGCGCCAGAAAAGGCCGGAACGCCCCCTTTTTGCGCGCAAGTTTTGGCGCTAAGGCGTATGTGTTGATTTCGCAACCGAATCATTTCGCTGCATTTTCTGTCAGAATTCTACCAAAAGCTCCAAGAATGTTCCGGTTCTTTCTGGCACTTTTGGGCTTTTTCTGGCGTTTTTGGGCTTTTTCGGCGGAGTATGATGGGCCCCTTATAGTGTACATGCTGGGCACAAAAGTATATTTTTCAGCATGATATGGTTTTTCAGGGGTTACTGTAGGTCTACGGTATGAGAAATGGATTCTAATCAAATTTTTCTGTATGCGGGGTATGGGGAGGGGGGAGGAAGGAATTCTCTATAAAAGGTGAATATGACATCATATCGTGACTGTTTTAGCTTTCTATAAACTTAGATTAGTTGAGGCTTACCGTAAATTCACTGTTAAAAAAATAACGAGGAGGGTACTTTTTTTGACCTTCATCGTTAAAAAAATTACCGGGTTATCATTTTTGTAGCTAGTGACCAATCTTAGTCGATTTTCTTTGGTTTTAACCGATTTTGAAATTGCAACGAATTATCGTATACCTACCGTATCCCTACAAATTGATCTCATTCTGCGAATTCAGCTTGATATTTGTGATTCACATGTCAAAAATTTTGATTTTTTTTTTGAATTCTAAGGGTCACCTCAAATTTTTCCATTAGATTTTCTCTTAAGCCATTTTCTTTTTCAGAACCTTCGTCCGACAGTGGAAACTTCCGAACAACGTAGACATGGACCAGATCAAGTCCAACATCACTGAAGATGGACGCCTAACCATCGAGGCCCCCAAAATCACCAAGCCCTCGACGAGAAGCATTGAAATTGGAAAGGCTTCAGCTGCTGGAAAAGAAAATCAGTCAGCAGTACAGAATGAATCAGCGAAACAGAGTGAGCAAGGACACCATGAGCAGGAGAAGAAACAGTGATCTCTGTCAATGTGTACATACACCAACTGTTGATATTTTTGTCAATATTTTCATGAACAGATACGCTTACTGTGAATTATGCATGTATATATATGTACTGTAACGTATTGTGTATAATAAATATGTAGTATCGATTTTGTGTTGGAAACTACATCACATCTTCTGAATTTGCTTGCTTGCTTTTGCTTCTTAATAACGACTACACTTTCGGTACATGTCAGGAGGAGATGCAAAGATCACATTTAGTGTTTTTAATAGGGCCTACAGGCAACAATAATTTGGATCCTGACGGATCGCTCAGGATTCTAATACTGCTTTTGATAAAGTTCCCATAAATATTGAGTTAGTTTAGAATCATGGTTTCACATGAGGTAAATTTTCATAACAATCTAGATTGTTATAAATCGGCTAGGTTTTTTGCGAAGAGGGCGGGGGAGGTGGGGGGGGGGGGGGGGGGGTGGCAGATGCGAGCTTCTCCTGTCGAATAATAACTATTGAGAGATTCTAATAGCCATAAGGGATAGTTTTGTCCCACAATGGAAACTTCTGAGAACTTAGCTTTTTGAATTTCTAAGCTTTCTTTTCATACGATGATGAATGTAAGGTGATCTGATGTCTGCTTACCGAAAAAATTTTTGGGATGCTTCGCAAAATTTCTGTGTGCCCGTGACCTCAAAGTATTAAAAAAAGGGGTGTGGCGGCAGCTACGCCCCCAAAAGATTTCCTTACAAAGATAATTTGAATTTTGAAACATTTTGGAAATCATTTTGATTATTGACAAGTATGAACAAGTCACTTGCACATTTTTATAACTCATATAAGTAAATTTCAAAAAGCAAGCCATTATCGGAGGGAGCGCCCTCCCCCCCTCCCCCTTCCGCCCCCTACCCCTCGGACCGCCACTGAATGTCTCTGCATCAGGAGAAGTTGGCTAACATTTTGAATCTTCTTTATTGGTATTTTGAAGTTTGATCACAACGTCTGATTGATTCTGTGATTTCCTTGTAATGCAATACCCTATTAGGTGTATAAGCCGCACCCTTTTTTGCTTTAAATGCGAGCAGACCCAGGCGTGCCGCCGCGCATATGTCTCGCGAAGCAGTCGCCTTATCGCATACCGCTCTCACTTAACGCGCTCCATGATGACAGTCAGTCTTTTGGCGTGTTCGCCTTTAGAGAGAAAAGGGTGCGGCTTCACCTGAAAATAGGGTAATTTGTTTAGACTGGTATTCAGCTGTATCACAGCGCGAGGATAGTGGAAATGGCAAAAGTTATGAGCAGGCTAGAATTGTTTATGATATTGTCATTTCAATGGCGAAGGTATTGTTTCGGGCACTTTAGACCATCGTACTCGAGCCAGTCCCTGAAGCGATGATAAGCGATAAGAAGCGTTTAATTTCTGAGCTAATCGTCTATGAATGATACTTCACACCAAGTTCCTCTTGTTTGTCCATGCTTCCGGAAAGCTATGAGAGGTTGGCGCAAGGACGTGTTGGTCCTGATATGCAAGGATCAAGTAAGTATTTTTGTACATTATGATGAACTCATGACAGCTTATACTTGGTTGTACATGAATTTTATGATACCTGCATGTTTCCGTTCGTTCAGTGTACTGGTACAGCAAAATGAGTGGGGATGAAACCCATATTGTTTCATTCAACGGGATTGGGGCTGGAAGGCGTCCGCTCGCACCCGCGACGCTGCGTCTCTCTTGCGAGCGTGCTCTTTGACCCTTCTCTAGCCTCGAGGCCTCGAAGCGTCGCCCTCCGGTTGCCAAGCCCGTTGGATCAAAGGGTAGACGCTCTATAAAAGTGCAGCGAGGAATTCTATTCAGATGGAGGTAATGTTGAGAAAAAGTCATGTTACGGTAGATAGGATAGAATAATTTGTCACTAAGGCCAAAAGACGAAATTCAGGCAGTCAGTTGTGAGATAGGATGTTTTTGTATGCAAAAATAATTTTTCTTACACTGGCACATATCAAAACTAAACTGAGCAAAAAACAACTCATCCCCCACTTTCCTATGCTTCAAGATGGCAAGTTGAACTGTCAGAGGATAGTTCCAGTGGCTGCGATTAGGGTGCTGCCCGAAAGTTGAGGCGGATATACATATTATAGCGTTCAAAGGCGGAGAAAGACATAAATTTCGTAATTTGTTAGCGATAACTTACGGGACATAAGTCGACGTCATTTTTGTTCACTGTAAATCAAGAATGCGCAAAACTGCTCAATCTCGACCGAACCTGCAGGTGATTGCAGCCAAGGAACTAGAAAACCGAAAATTTATTTGTCTCTTATTTTCAGCGAATCCATTAGTGTTTTGATGGACTGCTTGAGGTAAGAGTTAATTTTAGAATTATTGATTTACTTCCATTGGCCATGATTTCTTTCAGGAAAAATGTCAAAGTTTCATCTATCTTGTTATGTCTGTCAAAATCCTTGCACCTCCAGTCCTTCTTCATTTTGTAAAACTATTAGAGAGTCTTACATTCAGAGTCTTACGTTCCCTGTGAAGAAAACGCACAGCAGCATAGTCACTCTGTTTCTGACGAATTCGAAGTTTATGGACACCTTGCAACCATTGTTGGAAATTATTGTTTCATGGACATTTCTTCCAATTTTTGACGAAGTATGGAATTTTTTAAAAACGCCAGCAGCATCAAAATTCACTCAATTTCTGTAAGTGTTGAATTTACGGACATTAAAGGCACCTCCACCCAAAGTGGAGGTTGGCGAGATTATGATGGCATACTAGTCTGAGCCCCCCCCCCCCACTAGGCAAACCCCCAAGCTTCGCCGCAAAAGACTACTTCTGGAGCGAGAAATCCGCTCCGGAAGTAGCAAAGTAGGCGGGCGACCATGGTAGCTCCGCCCACTTGCATGCTTTATCTCGCCTGCGCTTGTTGCAGAGGGTTCTCGAAACAGGGATTTTTGGGGAGTTTCGCGGATTTTCGACTCTATATTCGGAATCAGGGCTTTCAGAAGGCCTGAAGGAGACAAAAACATTGAATTCGACATTTTGGGTGGACGGTACCTTTAAACTATTCAAGAACGGTTTAGAAAAAAAATAAACAACTTCTGACCCCACGAGCTCTTTTTTGATGAGCTTCTGACCAAAATGGTTCCTGTAACGACCAAAACATAATTCTGCTAATCTGTGACTCAACTATTATATTATATTTTCATCTCTTCATCTACTGAGCACTTCATTTGCTTCATTTAATCAGGCATTGTTGATTTTATCTTCACTTTATTGGCTCTATATGAACCAGGAAAGCAATTCACCCACTCATTTCATTCAAAAATCAGTTTTACTAACAATGTAGAAACCGGATTAACATCAAGAATCGGAGTTCTTGAATTTTGTGCGAGCCTTATTCTTGTTAGAGGGTTGCAAAAGCACAAAGAAGATTTGCGGAATATTCAATTTCGGCTCCAAAAACGCTAGTAACTCCTCGTCCATAAATGTTCTGCAGACAAGGAATGCAGGTTTAGAAACAGCGTTTCATGCCCTTCAGTATGGTTTACATCTCATTTAGTAAAGCCACTTCGACTAAACAAGCTTCCGTTGTGAGAGGGGACGCGTCAAATCTCGTTACTCTAGGTATGTGTACTATTGTTTTCATATTTATTTTATGAATGTCCACATCCTCTAATACTGAGTTTAATGGTTGCAAAAACCTTGTCGTAGAACTTAGTTTTTCACTGTTTCATGTGATCCCTTAGGGAATCCCGAGGGGGGTTCGTCTTACATATTCAGAGCCATTTATCCTCCTGTAAACTTGATGAAAATGCTGTAAATCATGCCGTGGATATACTATGGCACTGCTTAATATTCATTGAAATTTAGTGATTCAGGTATTAAGTCTTCGGTGAAGGGCTGTTCGCGAGCTGAGGTTCACTGAAAAACTCACGACCTGCACAATCCAGTCGTTTCGTCGATAACATCCCTAGTAGTGCCGCAGTAGATCCTCAGTACAACTCTACTTCGACTTTCTGGAAAGATAGACGAATTCGAAAACGGTGATTCCCTGCGGATTCTCTGGGGATCATACAAACAGTGGAAATCTCAGCTCCTATGGCATTGTCCTGCCATCCGTTATGCTCAAGTATAAGTTAGTAACCTTACAACATAGACAGAAAAAGAAGGAAATAATACATAGAGTAGCGTGATATACGCCCAGGTGACTTAACCTTCCCAGGAGAATACCCGAGAGGGGACGTACGGCACTGTATACGGGCCTTATATCAGGTTGTTTTACAAGTTTTTTCAATTTTGTTTTCACCGCAATAGGTCACACATTTATCAATTCTGAAAGCTGGGAATCGTTCGATAAAGCGAAGCAAGCTCTATAAGATAGCGTGTAAGCTCGCACTAGCTTCAGCATGTTAAATAGAACAGAATAGAATCAAATAGAGAATTAAAAGCCAAAGTCTTAGGCCCGTATGCACGTACATCCCCGCGGGGAGGGGAGGAGATCTGAGAGGGGAAGCGTCATATTTCGCTACTCTGTATACCTTTCTTCTTCCTTCTTTATCTTTGATACGAAGGTTCTCATACCCTGATACCTACGCATAACAGATGCCAGGTTACTGCCATACAACATTAGATTTCCACCAGTTTGTGTGATCCCCTGGGGATTCCCAGGGGTTCACGTCTAATTTTCAAAGTCATTTATTTTTCTGCAAACTCCATGAAATTGCTGTAAAGTTGTACTGAGGATATACTATGGCACTGCTTAGCATGTTTTTGACAGAAGAAATGGAATCTAAAGATTATCAATTTTTCGATAATCCCTGGCTCGCGAGCAGCGGTTCATCGAAAATTCCGATCTCCTGAGATCCCTTATCTTATATATAAAGCTGAATGTCTGTTCGTCTGTCTGTCTGTCTGTCTGTCTGTCTGTGTGTACGTATGTTCCGAATAGAAGATTCCATTTCTGAACCGATCCGGACCAAATTTGGCACACATACACTTCGGGTCCCGGCGGGTGTCATAGGCTACTTTTCGTCATCGATCGATATCGATTTTGTCGATTTTTTGCAAAATTTGAGCTACGGGGCTGGGAGTTGGCACAGGGGGGTAATTGAGCATGCTGATTACGAATATAATAATGACAGGGCCGGGCGGAGCCGGGTAAGTCAACTAGTTTCTACTATAGACATGTTTAGCAGTACCATATTACACCCTCAGCACAAATTTAGAACAATTTCATTGAATTTGTAGGAAGATAAATGACTCGTGGGGATCCCGAGGGGATCACACAAAGTTGTGAAAATCTAATCTTGCATGGCAATAACCTGGCATCCATCATGCGCAGGTGTTAGGGTATGAGACCTTCATATCACAGTACAGAGTAGCGAAATATGACGCTCCCCCTCCCAGATCCCCTCCCCTCCCCGCGGGGATGTACGAGCATACGGGCCTTAAACTTTCGGATGCTCTAAAAATTGAAATTTTTTTATATAACTGGTCAAAGAAAACTTACCAAATCCTAAATTCGCTCACGCACACCTCCACATGAGGAATTCAATTCCGTTGCTGTGTTTGTTTCTGTGCTAGAAAACTAGAAAACTATGCGTTCAAAAAAGCAGCTGTGCTAATCTAACATAGGTAAATGTATATCACGAGTCTTCGGAAGTACAATCACAGATTTCCAGCTTCCTCTAGTTTCCGAGAAATAAAAGTTTCAACATATAGTACTTTAGCAAAAAGAGCTAAATTTGGCATTGTTCAAGAATTAATTAGTGACTATAATGTTCAAGACTTCCACAAAGCTGAAAATTTACTGATATATTTCGAAGGCCTGTAGTTTACATTTACCTTGAGAGAACAGCGCAGCATCGCTTTTTTGGACTCTTGAACATTATAGTTTTCTCGCTTTCAAGTACAGAAACAAACATAGCAACGGCACTCGGAATGTTCTCAGAATGACTGATGCTCTGCTGAAGCTTGTGCGAACACTTACATGTGATTTTGTAGAGCTTGCTTTGCTCCATCGAACAGCAGTGGCGTACCGTGGAGGGGAGGGCCCCCCCCCCCCCGAGAATGGGTCGCGAAATTTTTGAAAGTTACTTAAATGTGTTATAAAAATGTGCAGAGGATTTGTTTTTACTTGTAAATAATTAAAATAACTTTTAAAATTTTTTAAGTAAAATTTTTTTCAGGGCGCCCCCTTTTTCTGAAATTTTGGGGTCAGGGGTCGAAAAATTTTGGGAAATATCCCAAAAAAATTTTCAGAGTGCGTGGCCGACGCCATTTTGTCGCCCCCCCCCCCTCCCTCCCCCGAGCCGAAATCCTTGGTACGCCACTGTCGAACAGTACTCTGCATTGTAAACAATTAAAAAACGTGTGACTTAATGCGGTAAAAATTCAAAATCGACAAAACTTATGAAACAACCTAATGCATACTGACTCCTACTTCTAAAGTTGCACAACGCTTTTCGGCATTCCAGTTTTTGTGCAGGAAATGGTCGATTTCAGTGATGGCCTTTTCACTGATTTTAAAGCTTGAAAAGGGTTTTGAAAACAATAACGAACTTTTTGCAAATACAAAACATTTGTGCCCTGATAAAGATCGTTACGATCACACACAATGAGTGTGATAGCAAAATTGATTGAAATGGCAATTACACACTTGCAGAAATCGATGTTGTTAATTTTTGCGTGAATTGGATAAAATCTTTTATTTGAATCTCACAAATCATCACGGCATTCTCCTTGTTTTGCTTGCACTGCATTTTCTTTAGAACAATAAAATAGTGCGTTAACAAACTTAGTACTCTTGCAGGCTCTCTCATCATTGAACTACACTCAAATCCACATGATACAGTGAAGGTAAGCATGCCGAAAACAACAATGCAAGGAACGCCTACAAGGAAAGACGGAAGCTATGAGGCAGCGTGGGACCCAATCGAGATTGAGATCGAAAGCTGGTTTGCACCATTTTCTCTCTTCTGTATTTTTCTAGTTGATTCAAATATTCCCTGTAGACCTAGGCTAGCAACTAATGAGTAACATAAAGACACCGCTCATGTAATTGAATCACTCCCATGTGAGCGGCATGAACACGCATATGGCGTGAGTGGTGTTGATTTTAGGATATGCGCACCCAAAACCTTTCCCGTTCAGCGTCTGAAAAGATACTTATTAGATACTGCAAAATGAAATAATGGACCATTATGCCAAAACAAAAAACATCAAAACTAAGAGGCTTGTTCAGAGTCACGAAAGGGAGCACTATAGGAGTCTAACATGAATCAGCTGCAATCAGCTCACGTGGTACTCCAGTAGGACGAGAATCGGCAGGTACAGGTAGAGCAGTCTTTCGCCTCTGAAACATACATAGCAGCCTCACCGCACTCGTGCGATCTTACACACCTACATCATTTGCAAGGCACTCATTCTTTTACACCGTGCAATTGGGTTGAATGATTTTCATGCCAAAAAAGCTTATTAAGCGCATTTTCAGTGTTAATTTCAATCTACTGCGACCAAATTTAGGCTACCATCGACCCTGCACAGATCGTCTGTAAGTAGGCTGAACTTCGTTTTTGGGACCAAAAGCAAAAGGGATATCGTTTTTGCGGGGTCCGGAGAGGAGCCCTGGAATAAATGTATACATGCATTACTAGCGAAACATGAGGAGGAGAACTGGAGGAGAACTGCATATACAGTGTGCAAGACAATTCAGCACACTTCCTGTAGCGCCAGAAGCGACTACTCAGTCAAGCACAAACTTTAAATACAGGTTATTACACAATTAAGTGCTCTATCGTGTCTTGTAAAAAACGCGCGCGATTTGAAAGCAAAGCCAACATTGAAAAATTGCTTGTTTACAGCGTAGAGACAAGCAAATGACACCCAATTCAAAGTGTAGGCATAGAATATTATTCACGGAAGAATTATGTAAAAAAATTTAAAACCTTATGTGAAGTAGTACCTTTTCCAAAATTAGTCCGTTTACAAACGGCCACCAGACGATCTGTGATCGTCTGGAGCATATATTTTTGTAAGCTCACATAAGTTTCGGATTTTTCTATCATGGACGGATTGTCCGGTCAAATTCATCCTGAGCATGGAAACGTTTTCATATCGTTGCTTTCCCTTGTTTTTGCCTCCATGATTTTCTTCATGAATCGCCTTGGATATCGCGCTCAAAGGGCAAGCCTTTGTTTATGCGTAGTATTCAGCTCCACTTGCAATTTTCACTCATACATCACGTTTTTCATTTCAGACTAATGACTCTTTTATGTTTTCATCTTCTCCTAATGATAGGTTTCTGATAAAGGCCAAAGGGTCTTTGTAAGCTTTTCGAAAGTTAGGGGGGGGGACTTCTCCAGAAACCTTGCAAACCGACTCGTCCCGGGCCCTGGCTACCATGTTCAAGTGAAAATTGTTCGGTCGTACTCGAGTTTGTGCAGATTCAAAAGTCCATCATGCCAAGTTGATTAGTTCAGCTTAAATGGTCACATGTGAGTATCATTCTGAGGCCGACCAGGAAGAGAACATACGGTGCTTTAGATTCTTACACCTCTCCATGGAGCAGGACGTTGAGTCACAACTTCAAAACAACAAGTAAATGAAGATTTGTTGCCAGCTTTTCCAAAAGTTATGGTTTCATACAGAGGCGATTTTTCTATCTATTATAAATAAACCTGTGCCAACTCGTCAATCGAGTTGTCTTGGCTAGAGCGCACGAGTTGCACATGTGCAAGCCATAACGTCGCGCGCGTCTTATTACTTTTATCCGTCTAGGGGAAGGGATCGAACGAGATCTAGGGCCGCATGCATTAACCTCCCCGCTGGGGAGGGGATCGCAGCTTAAAAAAAAGCTTTATATTTCGAAACTCCAGATATATAACTGGATTTCACGTTGTGTACCTATCCGTAAGTATTCCTACTACCCTTCACTATGAACAGGTTGAAGAGGAGCGAGAAGCTGTACGAACCGCAATTCCAGCTTTTGTATGATCCCTGATGATCCCCGGCGCTTTTCTTCAAAGTCATTTTTCTTTCTCCGAAGTTAACGAAAACTTTCCAAAGTTGTACTGAACATCTAACACAACAGTGCTAAGCATGTTGCTGATGAGAACAAATGAGTTTTTAAAAAGTCGAATTTTTCGGTAAACCTCAAATTTCGACCTGTGGATCATCGAAAAATTCATGACTTCAAAACATCATTTGTTCTTATCAGGAACATGCTTAGCACTGTCAAGTTAGATAATCTGCATAACTTTGAGGTTTTTCGTCAACTTCGGAGAAAGAAAAATAACTTTGAAGAAAAGCGCCGGGGATCATCAGGGATCATACAAAAGCTGGAAAACGCGGTTCGTACAGCTTCTCGCTCCTGTTCAACATGTTCATAGTGAAGGGTAGTAGGAATACTTACGGATAGGTACACAAAGTGAAATCCAGGTATCTGGAGTTTTAGAATATAAAGCTTTCTTTTAAGCTGCGATCCCCTCCCCGCGGGAATGTTAGTGCATGCGGCCCCTAGATTTACTTCTTCTTTCCTTTTTGTTGTGGTTAGAGGGACGAGTGAGCAAGATGTGCGTAAATTTTCTCACGAACCTTATACTCGTACCTGAATGGTATGTCAGCCAGGCACATCCGGACTCCCTATTATTACATCTTCTCAGGAAACCACGACACAACAAGCCCCGCCCCTTATTCCAGTGTATCTTTCGGCAGAAATCCAAATCACTGATTAGCTCTTCAAATGCTGCAACCAGGATTTCGAAGGAAATTATCAGGGTTCGGTAATTCGGCAGATTTCAGGGATTCTTTGGGATAATCTCAACAAGCAGACCCCTGCAGCGGAATCTGCTACTTCGCGACGCATTACAGTTGTTTCCATCACAGCCGTATGTTTCCAGAAGAAACGTCTGAAGAACTGGTCTCGATAGGTGCGCTCAATTCGAAGGTCAAAGTTCCCCTGGCGTAAAAGTGAGAAGGTAGGCTAGATTGAGAATTACATGACTACATGTGGACGGTAGACGAGCTAGTGACGGTCCTTGATCCAGTCTTCGATAAACTGCAAGCAGTTGAGGACATCGAACTCACACCTTATAACATCTACAATTCTGATTTTACAGTTCGTCAAGCTCCTTCTTCCCCGTTTACTCCAGCTGTAATCATCGCAAGCTAGGTCGCAGTAACAGTCATCAGTTTGCCTATATGTTCGAAAATGAAGAAAATTACTATCAACTAATAATTAAACAGCCAAGACTACTAACTATAAAACCCAACATACAACGATGTGTCCATCTCGTGCTACCGATTAAGCGGCTACTTAAGCCTTATACATGACGCTTCCAAGCCTTCACCCATACAGATCCGGCGCGTGGCCGAGGTGAAGACACGGCACGATTGCGTTTCCGTTTCCAAGGTCCGTTAAAACTTACGTTTCAAATTTGCCGGCGGTCGCCAACCTGCCGGTAGCTTGTCGAAATTTGCGAGTTGGCAGCCGCCGGCAGGTCAGAAAGCATGATAAAGAGCGATTGTCTTGAGAGGTGAAAGTGCCGGCCTCTCTGATGGTTGTCGCGTCGAGATGCCGGCACCTTGCTCGCGGCGTCTGAGATTTGCAGTGTGGCATATCATACAATTCACGCCAAACCAATAATTCCAAAAGCTCTACTTTCATGATAATTTTATCGTTTTTGTCTTATTTGGGGGTTTCCCTGACTAAATCGATTCTATGTATGCAGGCAGGATCGCATGGTCATCTTCTTCCTACCTTCATAATCTCTTTTGCAAAAATTTCCTCTGATCGTGTCCATGTAATCAGCTTTAGGTGCAAAGTCCAACACACACACATGTGTGTGTCGATCATGCCCGCTTACAGGCGCCACTTGTTTGGGTGTTCCTGTTTTTGCTTTGCAAACAGCAATAGTTGACCAAGTGGTCTATTGGTTAACGCGCTCACGTTCGAAGGTTATGATGCAGGTTCAAACTCGCGAGATGTCAATGTTTTACAGAGACTGCGTCGTCAAAATCCTTGTTAGATAATGATTGCGGGATGAGAAATTACAAAATTATCAAAAACCTATAACCAGTTCGCGAGCTGCCGCAGGAGTTGGCAATCCCGCAGTGCAATTGCCAACTTGCCGGCTATGATGCCACGAGGTAGGGTAGATTACTGCCGGCCCTGGCAAACTGTCAAAATACGTGTCTGAGATATGCCGCAGAGATTGTATCGTCAATAGAGCTGGTTTTATTTCCAGAAAAAAACGCTTGAGCCCTTGTGTTGTGAGTTTGTGAGTGAGCGATGTAGAAGTACAGCGCGAAGTTCAAGCGCAATGATGTTCTTTTGAATGAGCAGTGGACTAGTCTCAAGGCACCTAATCTCGTAGTCGTTTACTGTTAGAGTTGACTGCGTTACTGAAAATTTTTACATGTCTCATTCGCTTCTCATTTCATTGGTTGGTTGGTCTGCATGTTTTTAGGGATAGAAGATATTTCTGTTGCGTTGATAACATTTTGTCCAACTTACTACAAATTTCCGGAGCAGATATCCTACATCATTGGTCCAAAATAAGCGCAAGATTTTGTGTCTCATTTTCTCTGAGTGTGGGTCTCAAAATCTATAGATGTACGCTTGAGGGCTGAAGGATGAGCGAAAATGATGCTCAGGCTACGACACCCTGTGTTGGATAGAGTATTGCGATGCGGTTGAGCGCTGTATCCCTTTCGTGATAATTCTTGGGGAGACTGATCACTGGTTTACTTTCTTTCTTTGAGTTGCAGACTGACATGCCAACACAAAAAATCACAATTATTAACCATTCCAACCACAGATCTACCAGCTTTCGTTTTCAAAATGCTAGACATGGAAAGACCAAGCACAGCAAATTACACAGGATGACTTGTTTTCTAAAAACAGAAAACTGGTTCATTTGGGATGGAGATGTATTTTTGGAGCTGTGCAAAGAGGGAGGACGGTGCAGAGAGGAATATTACAGCTAGTCGTATGACTCTAAAGACGCCAGTGCTTTGTGCAAAAGTGACCATGGCTGAGATGCGATGCAATGGTTATGCATGTGCTCATAGAACTTACATTGGTTTGAAGGTGCGAATATAAAGACCTCGTTTAGAAGGCACATTCTTCCGTTCTTGGCCGATGAAGGCTTGGGCTAAAGTTACACTGATGCAATCATAAGTCTGCAAATGCTAGGTTTTCTCGTTAAAAAACGAATTTACACAATGAAATTTCAAACTGACCATATCTACTCCCGTAAAAGTTTTGGACCGTTTCAGTATTTCCTCATTCAGTGTCCGATTTTTGTCGAACACACACTCCGGAATGTGAAGTGCAGTTAACACAGGCAGTGTCTGAAGTTTAGGATTTTGTAACAATAAAGAACTCGGAGCGCAACGACTTACACTTAAAATGATGCACAAGCGTTTCATAAGCAGTAGCAATCATATTAGTCGTCCATAAATTGACTGGTGTCAGAAGCAAGGAAATCCCATCAGCGGTAAAACAATACCAATGCAACATTGTTCGTGCCCATCGATAAATGTGTCCTTATCGGTTTTGTGACTACTACGCTAATGAACACTGCTTTGTTCTTAGCCCGTGGATATTGAACAGCTGATGCAGTCCCAAATTAATGCTGGAGCATTCAGGTAATTGAATGCTTTATTTCACAATGGCAGCATATTCTCTTCGCTACTTCCCATATTTTCTAACATTCGCTTGAGTAGGACTTAGATTGGTCAAGTTTGTCTTTCTTGCTCCTACAAGCAGATGCTTAGCCGAAGTTCTCGGACAGTAATGTTTATCGCAGGCAGCTGTGGTATGAACGAGGTTCTGTCCCGTATAAGTGCACAAAAACTTTTCAATACTTGTAGTTTTTTTCCAGTTGATTAAACTCCATTTCGACCTATCGGGTGATATTCTGCTGTACTTTCATCAATTTTTGAAAACTGCGATGGCTGAAAACTTACTACGTACAAGCCCAAGAGAAGACCCCAAAGGTCAAACTGTGGTCCAACTTCTTCATGGGAAAGTGCATATCAAAGAAAATAACAAAGTATTTTACTTCGTTGCGGTAGTGTTATTACAGAAGTGAGGTAGATCCAATTGGCGCTCCAGTCTCAGACAATGGATCGGACCCCTCCGCTGGGGAAATGGCAGGGTCGCGGCGTTTCCCCAGCGGTGGGTCACCCATTCGTCCGGCGGAGCCCTCCCATTTCTCCGGCGGAGACCTCCCATTTTCTGCTCCGGATACCTCCCATTTTCTGCTCCGGAGCCCCCCGATTTTGTGCGCCGGAGCCCCCCGATCGCGGCATACTGTAATTAGCCCTAATTAAAGGCAGCTTCCAGGCAGATCTGGACCTATGGGGCTTTTACATGGAAAGTACTTTTGGGGCCCTAACTAAGGCACTGCCGAAGCAGCAGCTCAGGTAGTGCTCCAATGGCTGAGATATTCCCCTCGAAACAGACCCCCGCGAACGTACTCGCATGGATTCATGGCAGTTTCGCGCCAGGATCCACTCTTTGCGCCATGAATCCATGCGAAACACGGTCGCGGGGTCCGGTTTCGAGCAGAATATCTCAGGCGTTAGAGCACTACTTGAGCTGCCGGTTGGGTAGTGGCTTAGTTAGGGCCCCAAAATACTTTCCATGTAAAATCCCCATAGGTCCAGACTTGCCTGGACGCTGCCTTTAAGCTCCAAACCCCAATTTTGTCTCTGAACCCCACCCAAATAAGCCGAATAGGACCCCCCCCCCCGGGTAGGAGTTTAGCGCGACCCTCACCCCGTACTCTACCCCCTCCCTCTCACCCCTAGCGTTTGTGGATAGAAGATAGAAGAAAGAACGAAGAGATAAGACATTTATTTCAAATTTATCAAACTTTCGAAAAATCTATCTATCTATCTCCAGCATACGTACAACAGTTAATTCATATTACAAAAACCATACTAGGAGTGATAAGAATATTCAAAGAAAAACTAATTTCCTAGTTGCAAAAAGAACCTTGTAACACCACAGTATAAGCATATGGTTTTAACATGGTAAGAAAATGACAAAAAGATCAAAAAAGCATTCTGTGCAACATGAAACAAAACAGCGAGGAACGCCATAAACTCACATTTGCAAAGCAGGGACATATTGTCCAAGTGCGATATATACATGAGCTATATTCATCCAAACATCTTCGAATTCCGAGGTCCAAGGCCATACTGGGGCAAAACGAAAGTAGGATGATTCAACGTAGTTGCTTGATAATAGTACTAGGACACGATGATGACATGGATTGAAATTCTTGCATATGCAACTTACCTTGAACGCCTTTTCATAGTCTCTGTTGAAATGGAAAAACCGCGCAAGAATGTAACAAGCTTCGGCCTTGATTTCGTCACTTTCCGTCATACTCATTGCATGCCACGCTAACCGTTCAACCTTGTTCATTTCCTGAAAAAGTGATGCCTTCAGATAAAGCGATAAACACCTCGATGTAACAGCTTGGACAAATTTAAAAGGTCCCTTTTATAGATAATTCGTAATTAATTCAAAGAATTTCTGCACTGACTCCTTTGAAGAAGAAGTGGTTGGCAAGATGGACCAAGACAACCGGATTCTCCGGCTCCAGACTATACGCTTGGCCTAGACAAGCCACTGCACTTTGGGCTCCCTCGACAGTATGCGTATTGTAATCCAAAATGGCAAGTGCTGAGAGAGCACAAACATTGTCATTTTGCAATTCCAACGCTCGTTCAAAAGCGATTCTGCAAATTGTAATTGAAAGTCACATAAACAGTAAAGAAGAAGCTATGTGACTCAAACATTTCACATTTACATGCTTACCTAGCCTTATCAGTCCCTAATCTCGCTAAGCAATACTGGAAGCAATGTGATGTGACTAAGCAACAGTAACAGTCACAATGCTTCAGTAACAGTCACAAAACTTCAACATCGTTTGGAGTTGCCTCCAAGACTTTTGTCAACATATCTCTTGCCTTGTCCTATCTTTCAAGCCAGAAACGATATAGTGAGGATCTGCAACGTCTGATGAAAAGTCGATCGACTTGGTAAGCATACGTACGAGAGAGATAGTGTGGACCCCAGCCAGCTTCAGGTACTAGCGCGGCGCACACGCAACGCGCGCCCGACTTGAACGCTTCTCATTTCACTTACGAACAAAAAAGCATTATAACCGAAAACAGGAGTGAAATGAGATGTGGAGGCCTCTAATCCGAACACGAGAAAAGCCAAGGCAATAGGAGAACCTTCACAACTTCTACTACTAGCGCTCAGATTCCAGTCAATCTCATAAATAACTGGAATCTTCTATTATCCATCGCTAGTAGTGTATGACACTACCAGCGATGGATGATAGAAGTAACAGGAAAAGTCGAAGAACAATTCTGAAAAGTCTTCCTTCTGTTCATAAAAAAACCCAGAAAGTTTGAGCTCAAGAGCACGATTGCAAAGCTCTGATGGTGTAACAAAAGGCTAGAAGCATCTACACTCCACAAAATCAACTGCATATACACTTATTCTGAACATTTGGAGAGATGTCTCTGAACTACACCGAAATCTTCACTATTGAGAAAAAAAACAAGATTTTCGAAACAAATGCTTGCAAGACTGTCAAGACTCGTAAAAATCCATCACCAGCAGTTGACGTGTGTCGTTTACATCTAAAGTAGAGATTACAGAAGAGAACAAACACACTTGAAAGAGGAAATTGAAAGAAATCCCTTCAGAGCCGAAACGAAAAGCGCACTGAAGGCATGCGCTGCGGGCGCGCCGCGGAGGTACCTATGAGAACCTGGCCGGGGTCCACACTATAGCAATAAACGGATTATTTAGACGATACTTTCATCACAACAACACTAGATAGTTGCGCAACTAACCTCATTGTTTCGAAAATCCAGAATTAATCACAAAAACCACTCCATCAATAGTCTACGATGTCTCAGCAAGTCGGAAAGAGCCAAACACTGAAGGTGATTGAGTGCAACCGCACGAAAATTTCAAACATAAACCTGAAAACGAGGAACTTACAGCAACATAAACGCCAACGCGACGAAGAGCAACGCGGAAAAGGAAAAAACGGTAAAGAAACGCGCAAAAACAACAGAATCAAAGAAACGGCGACTAAAATATGGACAAAGAGCGTAAACAGAGGACTCATCACCGTGGAGTTAGACGTTTGCTTGCTACGCGCCAAATCGATACGCAGCCTGCTCCGGATACCTCCCATTTCTCCGGCGGATACCTCCCATCTTCTGCTCCGGATACCTCCCATTTTCTGCTCCGGATACCTCCCATTTTCTGCTCCGGATACCTCCCATTTTCTGCTCCGGAGGCCTCCCATTTCTGCTCCGGACCCCTCCCATTTTCTCCGGCGCGACTCCGCCAGATTTGCCAGGCTCGCGCCGGACAAATTTGTCCGGCGCGAGCCTGGCAAATCTGCCAGGGTCGCGCCGGAGAAATGGCGGACCTTTGCAGCAGGGCCGGAGAAGCCTCCCATTTGCCTGGCAGTGATGTCACGCGAGGGACCGCCCATTTGCCCCGCTCTCATTGGTCAATTGGGTCCGGCGCGAGTCTGGCAGTTTCGGCTTGCCCAGCGGAGGGGTCCGATCCATTGTCTGAGGTGTGAATTCAGTGCTCTGGCCTAGTCGTCAAATAAACTTTTATTCGTTTCTGAGGATTCAACAAAAAAATCAGTTTGTTTGAAAAACCAAAACTTCTGAATGTTGATCTCGAAATTTCAAAATTGTCTAGAAAACAAAATCTTACTAGTTAGTGGGCAAATGTATTCTAGCCTTCTTGCACAATATGGTTGTTTCGATATTCTATTGGCTACTGCATAATTACTGTCCAATTTTTTGCCTTGCGTTTGAAGCAGCCGTCCTAGGAGATTTTCTCGTAATGCGACATTATTTCTACTTTAGAGAGCATTTTCCTTGCTCTTTGTAACACATACTATCATATTCCAATGAAATCTCCAGTCTGACGAAATTGCAGGTCTGTGATCCCCAGATGGTCGAGACACGTTCTCAGCTAACAAGTAAACGATACTTAGTGTCCGTGGCCTTTTGAAATGAAATGTATACTGTATACCATTACATTTGTCTTCGAACGCTGACTCCGAATCTGACTCCCGTGTCTGTTGATCGTTTCTCTGAAAGAAGTTATGAAAGATTTTCGCACCCTGTTTGGCCGCGCGAGGCATATGGGATAGGAACACCGACATGGTTACATGTTAACATGCATTCATCTTTCATTCGTTTTCATTTTTATAGGCGCCTTTTGGAATAGATGTAGGAAACACTCATATAGAAATGAGTCTTTGTTGAATTTTCAAATAGTTAGGACATGCATTTACCTCGAGTAAACCTGATTCTCAAAAAGAAGCTCAATTGAGGCAATGCAAAACCGAAAAATACAAAAGGTGTGGCTGTGGTGCAGTGGCAAGTGCGATAGACTCACAATTTGATGCAAGTGTAGGTTCAGATCCTTAACGAAGACTCATTTTCATATAAGTTTTCCTAAATCTATTCCAAAAGGTGCCTATAAAAATGAAAACGAATGAAAGATGAATGCATGTTAACATGTTACCATGTTGGTGTTCTTATCCCAAATGCCTCGCGCGGCCAAACATTGCGCGAAAATCTATCATAACCTTTTTTCAGAGGAACGATCAGCAGAAAGCGAAGTCAGATTCGGAGTCAGCGTTCGAAAGCGAGTGTAATGGAATACATTACATCTCGAAAAGCCACGGACACTAAGTATCGTTCCCTCGTAAGAGAAAGTTTTTGCGAGAAAATCTCATACGCTCTTTGAGTCAAGTCCTTGTGGTAGTCGCGAAGTAAGGGTGAAACAGTCCAGCATATGCACAAACTCACTTTCATGCGAAAAAACTTCTCGGTAAATTTGTTGTTGAAGAATAATTATCTGTACAAAAGTTCTACAAGCTAACTTTCCGTGAATAGAGGCAGTCGATGAATTAAATGTTGAAGGTGCTAGAGTAACGCAAGGGCTAGCAGAGCCATCACCAGTTGCTTCTCTCAGCCCTCGCCGCAAGCATAAAATTTTCATAATTTTGGAAGTTGGCTTACGTACATGTACTAAAACGAGGTTGAAAACGGATTCATTTTTATCCAATCGAAAAATCTCTGGGCACCAAAGATCCTATGCGCACTTTTCAGCTCAAAATAACAGTTAAAATTTTCTCCATCTATCCATGGCTGCTTAATGTGCCTGTCAGTTCTTACAATGGAGCATTGCCATGCAAAGAAGAAGGGTTGAAGAAGAACGCTGTCAAGTTAGTTCCTGCTTTTTTAACAGGGTTTTTCGCAAGAGCTAGTATTTCTCTGGTAGCTAAGGAATTGCTCAACACACAGAACCTATAAGATTATGGAAAAAGGACGATTTTGAAGAAGTCATAATATTTTGAATTCGAATATTGAGATACAAAACTTGTGCAGCAGCCTAATACTTTGAAAAGAGGTTATAGGTACGTGTTTTTGAGCCTTCAGAATTAAACACATAATCCATATTAAAAATTCTTGTTAATTACAGAACCAATGACGATTACAACGCCACTCTTGCCGATTGATCACTAATACCAAAGTTCATGTTTGATTTTTGAGTTTGCCTCGAAATTTTCAGCTTCGTTTAAGAGATGGTATCAAAAAACCTTGTATGATATTGAATAAAGTGCATTTTAACGCCTATAGGAATTTTCCTTTTAGTAATTTCAAAAGAAGTTTGCAGCCAAAATGTCGAGGAGAATTTTGCTTACCAGCTAATTCCTCCCCCTAATCCCGAAGATGAGCTTGAAGAGTGCGGAAATTGTCAGTTATGTTTTTCCGAACCCCGAAAACTGGACTTGTAAACGCGGGGTCCGCCATAGTCAAGCAGAGTCTTTGAGGGATCCTACTTTTATAATTACGGGCGAACTCTGGCTTTCAGTTTGAGGTCGATGTTTGGGCGAAAACCGAAGCGCCGCCAAAAGAGGCGCCCGTCATAACTTCTATAGCTGTTTCCTCGTTTCAAAGGCAAATTGGTACAATGGCGCTGGTTCAAAAACTTTATAAGATTGGACACTATTGCAATCTACCTTTTTGTCGTCATCGGCATACTTACCCGGACGCTTCCTTTCAGGAACCAAAGTTTATTTAGTGTTCTCAGATAACTGTCATAACTCATCTTCACTTTGGTTGGTATTCCCAATTTTTTGAATCTTTATTCCAGACAAGAACCGAAAAATATGTTGCAGATAATCAAATGTATGGAGCTAGAAAACCTTCCACCCGCTATTAATATAGCATTATAATATTGCCATCATGTATTTGTACTCAATGACTAAAATCAATTTTCCCTATCTGAAATTACAACTGAAGTTAATCGTAAAATCAGATGTTCCCTTATGGATCACGATTTTTTGTTTGTTTGGTATCATTGAGCTTTGTCAAAAGTTTTTTTTGAAAGTGCATCAATGTTCTTGTACTTGCGATACAATTCGTTTTTTTTTTGTTTGAGTTTTAGATATATGAGCCGCATCACATTTGCTATAAATGCAAGCGGACACTGGGAAATCGCTGCGTATGCGTTTTGCGGAGCGGCTTCCCACTCGACGGTTGAGATGCTCTAAGAAAAACGGTCCAAGGCGGCATTCTTTGGCGTGTTCGCGTTGAGAGCATTCAGGGTGAGGCTGAACCACCTGAAAATGGAATAGCATCTTTTTGCAATACGGACGCAGTTAGTGATTCGACTGAATGTGTTTGTAAGTTTTGCAATTATGATTAGATGTGTGTTTGCGTTAACTTAGTTTTTCTTGACTCTGCTACATATAAATAACGGATTGATCAGCTTTCTTGGAGACGGTACTTGCACGTCCGTTCAAAGCCCGGCACAGCTGGCACCGGGTCAAGCTCGATGTCGTTTTTGGGATAAAAAGCATAGGGGTTTTATGGCCGAAAAGATTCAAAAATTGCGACTTTTAAAGTCGGCGTTTTGTTTTTTTGAGAATTTCTTACGTTTAGGATTCAGGGTCAAAGGGTACTTCGTACGATATTTTCAAACGATCAAAAGGGACTTCGTCTTGAAATTTCCCTGGATCCAGCTCGTGCCAAACTCTGCGTCCGTTCGGCACCGACTTATTGGTGGTTTCAAATAGAGCTTTTGAGTCATAATTCTTTCGCCTTTTTTCGTTACGAACTACAAAAAGGAATGGTCAAGCGGCTCAAGTACAACATAGCAATTGACTTCTTCTTTCTAACATTTACGCTCCTTTCTGATCTCTGCAAGTCTTTGCCTCTATTATCGGCATCGGCTTCACGAATTTTAAAATATCCAGGATTTTCATTTTGGGATTTTATCCAGCTTTCCAAAAGAGGTTAGAAACACGCGTTCTGGGCTTTAGCTAGCTTTGGTGATTATAAACCATTCGGATCAATCTTTCAATCATTTTTTGCTGATTATTTATCAAAAAAACCTTTGCCTCTTAATATACAGGATGTCGCTGTCTTAACACTATGTTTGCCATGATCGCTTGTTAGTACTTGTTCCGATATCCTCGCCGATCTTTAGGAACATTCTTTGGAGCTCACATGAACTGAGATTAACAATATGTAGCACACAGCGACCATCCTTCATTAATCCCCTCAGAGTACAGTAAGGCCACAGATTCACCACATTATGCATTGCATTTCTTTCTTGCGTGGAAAATTTTTGTAATTTTGTCAATATAAAGATTGAGTCAGACTGTGCGGGCTTACGCCGACGCGACGTACGCAGCATAGGCTCACGTGTAAAGATATGGGCGTACGCCGCATATGCCAAACAGTCTGGCCTAATCTTAAAGTGTAGGGATAAGACATGTTCTTGTAGAATTACTATGAATGAGTTTAAAGTTACAAATGTATTATTGACTCTATCTCATTTGCCCGCAAACGCAAAATTTATCACATAAAAATCCATTACACATCAATGATAGATATGTACATCACACGTATTCATGACTATACTCGTTTAATGGATATTAGTCTCTCGTTGGTTTGATTTCGAATAGGTGACTGGAATGCTTCTCGAATTCACATTCGCCGCAGGAAATTTTGGCACTTCCACGGACAGTCTCCCAGAATCACTGAGACTGGATCTGATTGCATCAACGTCAGCCTCGTCCGGCAGCCTCCACGTTCTCACAAATGATCTGAACAATACACTTGTTTGTTAAAAAAGTCCCCTTGAGTTTTACGAAAAAAAAATAACCATCATGCCTTTTGGAATAGCTTTTGTCTGCTTTGTGCTCTTGCTTTCCCTCAATTTTCAAAGTCCTTCCCTCTAAATTCACTTTGACCTCATCCGGGTGAAACTGTGAAACATCCAATGTCACAGCAAATTTCTTGTCATCATTTGTCACCTGAATAACTACACCTCAGAAAGATGTTCCGACTTAACATACTTGTGAAAGAAAGGTTTTAGTAGCGAACTGATAATCTCGAGAACTGTAGATCCGTAACGTATGAAAGTTAAAATGCGATACATGCGGTAAATCACGGCAAAATTTAGGCAGTTGAGTGTTGAGTCGTCTGATTTCAGCGAGGATAAAATCTTGATCGATGGATTTCACATATAATATATATCTCATCATCCAAGAAAGCATTATTTTAGAAAATGTTTATAACGCAGATTTTACTCGACTGCTAGGCGTTGCACTTTTAGACCCGAATGTTGTAAGAACGCAAATAAAAAGTAACAAATCTGTTCGGACCTAAAAAATCCCAAAAATTCATTTATGTACTTTCCAAGCTCGTACTTGATTTCTATCCACTCATCCAACTGCGTTGGAAAGTTCGCGACCCTGATAATATCATAGGCCGCACATTTGAATGTTTCATTTTGAAAGCCTTTCTTCTTTACTGGTAAGTTTCGAGAAAAGCTCTTCGTTCGTTTTATTTTTGTATGTTTCCACTTGGAGAAGGAAAGAAAATCGATAAACCTGGAATGGTATCCATGAAAGTCCATAATGAAGGAAAATGGACTTTCAAACTCCATTTTATTCGTTCGCGGTAGAAACTGGTCGGAATCTGCTTTCGCTAGCGTTATCCAAGAAATTTTATCTCATCGCAACCGCAAGGCAAAGCGGTGTAATAAATGATTCAACCCTACTTGAACTCTCGCTTGCGAAAAAATCATGCGAAAAGTCCATTTAGAATGGGCTAAAATGGGATTTACCTCCATTTTAAATGGACCCATTTTACTCTCAGCAGCAAGGTGAGCTGGGACTAATCCCAATTTTGAGTTTTTTGCATATTTTTGATTGAGATTTTTTGAAAATTATTCCTTAGCCTATTTTAAGGTAACAAATGAGTGGAAAAAGTTTTATGTCTTTTATGAAGTCTGAAATGAGTGTTTCTTTCTAAACTCATACAAATGCTATATAGATTATGGAAAAAGGGTAAATCACCAAAGTATTCGCCAACAAACTCAAATGTTTCCAAAACCATGTCGACGCGAGAATTCCTATGTAAATCAGATAAAGTTTGTTAACTCTTCAAATTCTCAACCAAAACTAAGCTTATGATTTGTATTCAGAGATAGAGAAGATTTGCGTTTCAATACAATTACTCAGAAGCTATCTTTTGACTAATCTCGTAGAACCGAACCTCAAAGACGGTCTTTATGAACGAATTTTGAGTTTGAACGCAAGAATTACTGAAATGCCGCTAGCTAGCAAGAAATCTGTGAAAAATTTCTTACTGTCAATAGTCCATACATTCAACTACTTACATTAGAGATATAAAGACAAAGAAGAGCTAAAGTAGAACATTTGCGAAGTCATCTCTTGCAGACTCGTAGTTTTTCCGACTTAAAACCCTTTGGGTTGTAGTGTAGTACAAGGTTTCCTATGAGATAAGCATTTTGATTCACAGATTGCAGTGCAAAAGTTTGCTTTCTGCAGAAAGCTCTACATACGAATTTGATTTAATGCAGATTCATAGAAACCTTGAAAGGCGAAGGCCCGAATATCACATGAATTTTAGTCTTGGAAATAATTTAGATGCAAGTCATCGATAATAAATGGTATTTTGTGAGGTGTAACGGTGTGGGAAAGAATACAGGGTGTCCGTAAAGTATGTATACACTGTTTGATCGTTAATATCTCTTTTTCCAAGAAGTCTTTTGCCTTGCTTCAGGTACCATTTTGTAGAGCTGGCTTCAACTTAGATTTGCAGTATGGAGTGAATCACCCATCTCTCTCCATTACTGCAGGATTACGGTGAAAGCTTCAAAGAGGGTTTTGAGCCATGAAAGGCCATATTTTGCCTCAGAAAGGAAACAAAACAGCCTGAAAACTTTTACACTAGGCTATTTAGAGTTGCTGATTCTAATTGTAAAGTTCCCAACTTATTATGATGCTTCATTGAAGAGTTATGCAGGTAAGAGGTAGCGGCCATTTTTTCAATATTCCTAAAAAGTGCGGCTGCACCGTTTAGAAAGCTTCACAATCTTGAGAATAGTTGAGTATTGAACTCAGCGTCCATAAAAACCCCAATACACAAGTTTTCACAATTGCTTAAAGAATTTTGAAACGGGAGCTTTTTCCATATTGACACCATATGTTTCAAGTTTCTACCGTAATTCTACAGTAATGAAGAGAGATGGGTGATTATTCACTCCATACTGCAAATCTAAGTTGAAGCCAGCTCTACGAAATGGTACCTGAAGCAAGGCAAAAGACTTCTTGGGAAAAGAGATATTAATGATCCAGTGTATACATACTTTACGGACACCCTGTATAATATCTACGTGGCTAACATTGCAATGTTAGATCAGCCTAGTTCGCAGAGCACCTGAGAAATTTGAAAATTATTTAGTAAAATTATCTCAACCACTTGGTGGAAATGAGATTGCAAGAGTGAGTAAACAGGTTGAGGCAAGTTGGAGAAAAGTTTGCTGAGGAAATTTTGTATGGAATGAATATCTTATCGCACCGCATGACTAAATCCATTTTATTCGCACGAAAAACCCATTTCTCGGGAACTTTCGTGGACATCATTCCTGGTCCTGTCAAAGGCCAAAAATGAGGTATTAACTACACAAACATGCTACAAGTCAGATACATCTTATAGGTTTTGAGATTATAAGATGATGTTTCGTACTCATGTTCATTCCACTTCTAGAAAATGACGGACGGCTGCAGAAAAGAAGTACATGCTGTTGAAGTCACAGGTATATAAGACTTTAGTGCTAAATGGAGATTATAAACTCCTATCGTTTCGAGCACTCCAGGGATAGACGCCAACCCAGCGGGTTTATCCTCAACAAGCAATATGATCTGTACCAGTTAGCTTGCTTTCAGACGCAGACCAAAAAACAAACAGAGAATAAATCACATGAAATTCTCTCATGAGCTACAATAGCAACTGATCATATTGCTTACAAATGATCTAAAATTGTAAACAGTGATAATGAAGTTCTATGTCAGATGTATATTGGTGATTTTTTGCTCGTTTCGACTGTCTTGCGGTTGTTATGAGTAGTTAACCATAAATAAACATCTTGTCGCTTTTCTGGGTTTGCCTAAAGTGACCTAATTGCGCATTTGTGGTTGTAGATGGGCTGAGGAGTTTGACTAGGCTTCAGACGTTCACCGTGTAAGACGTCGGATTAGGTATCGGGGCATCTCGGGACAATATAATGCTTTCCCGAGGTCAATCACCGGACATCTACCGAGCATGCTGATCGAGTCACCTATGGGCGTTCAACGGGCACCTGAGGATACGCTGGCGGTCACTTATCGGGTTTAGTAGGGGTCTATTGGAAAGTTCGCGGCATGGATGATTGGTGGTCGGGGCAACACCCGCGGCGCTCCAGGGAGATTGTCAGTGTAGCATGTACCCGACAAGCAAAGTTTCCCATATCGCAGTGTTAACTGGAATGAAATACATATCATTGAATGCGTCTGCTGTGCGGTGTTTTAGAGAAGTTATGAGTGGTTAGAAGTGTGAAGTTCGGGGTTCTAATGCTTGAAGATATTGAAAACCTTGGTAGTGCATAATTAGAATGGTACTGACAAGGGAAGGATACTCGGTCGAAGTGGCCATTTGAAATGAGCTGTATATTAGGAAACCGTCCTCCGTAAGGCAAACTCAGAACTACTTTCGCTAGGTGCCGGGCGGTTTTGTGGGGGGAGTTACAAGGCCATTTTCCTCCGGCGCAGCCAGCGCACCCAGTGATGAGCCAGGCGTTAGAATAACGCGTCAGTGTGGCAGTGGCGCAGTGGCAACGCAGCGGACTACGAAGCAGATGGTCCAGGGTTCGAGTCTTGTTGCTGCTACTTTGTTTTGCAGTTCTATAAAAAGTCTATTGGGTGACAGCAAACGAGAAATACTATTTCTAGGCAGTTCAAACAAGCTATTTACTGCAAAAAAGTCACTATTTCTACAATAAGCCATAATCTTTTACAATATGTGAATCTGTGGAGGTTATGATGTCACAACAATGGGTTCAAATGATATATTAACATGCATGGAATACAACCACAGAATGCTCAAAGCAGAAGAGCTTCTCGCCGCGCGCACTTGCAAAATTGCAATCGATTCACATCCCATTTATTGGCTCTTGATCTGAACTTTACCTTGCATCATAGGGATTCCATCCTTAAGATCTTATCGCTCATTTACACACAATTTTGCTCGCCGCGATTCAAAAATTTGCTCTCATACCCATGGATGCAGCCGGATACATTCACAACCACGCCGGCGAATTCGAGTCTCCTATTCAGTACTGTTTTTCACCGACTTTGATAGGCAATTGTGAAGCTGCTGATTGTCATCGTTTCATTTTATCCGATGTGCGCTCTGCGAGAAGCTCTTCTACTTTGAGCATTTTGTGGTTGTATTCCATACATGTTAATATATCACTTGAATCCCTTGTTGTGACATCATAACCTCCACAGATTCACATATTTTAGAGGATTATAGCTTATTGCAGAAATAGTGGCTTTTTTGTAGTAACTAGCTTGTTTCGACTGCCTGGAAATAGTATTTCTCGTTTGCTGTCACCCAATAGACTTTTTACAGAACTGCAAAACAAAATAGCAGCAACAGGACTCGAACCATCGACCATCTGCTTCGTAGCCCGCTGCGTTGCCACTGCGCCACTGCCACACTGTTGCGTTATTCTAGCGCCTCGCTCATCACTGGGTGCACTAGCTGCGCCGGAGGAAAATGGCCTTGTAATTCCCCCCACAAAACCGCTCGGCACCTAACGAAAGTAGTTTTGAGTTTGCCTTACGGAGGACGATTTCTTGATATACAGCTCATTCCAAATGGCCACTTCGACCGAGTATCCTTCCCTTGTGAGTTTACTGACTAGAAGGAATGCACACATATACCGGCAGCATTGTTTTTGAACAACTACTTCTTGAATTTCTGGAAATAACGTTTGCCTTTGGACCTTCAAACTCTCTTGACTTCTTCTAAAATTCCGCGCAACAAATAATGGAGCTATATTTGGAATTTTATACATGAAGCTAAATGTCTGTTTGTGTGTTTGTGTGTACAGGGCTTATCAACTGCAGTGTCGGTTGCACCAGCATCTCCATTTCCGCAAGGACTCTGCACCTCTTCCGCGAACATGCTCTCCAATCATATACAATTGGTTGAGGTCTCGCCTCTCCCACGCTCGTGGTGGGAAAGTGATCAGAGAGCATGTTCGCGAAAGAGGTGCAGAGTCCAAGCGAAGCGGCCGCGCGGGAGCGGAGATGCTGATACTCCTGACACTGCAGTTAATAAGCCCGTACGTATGTTCCAAATACCAATTTTTTTATTTCTGGACGATCCGGACCAAAACTTTGCACACCTACACTTCAGGAGGGAGGGAGGGGGGGGGAGGCATCGTAGGCTAATTTCTCTTATCAATCAATATCGATTTTTTGCAAAATTTAAGTTACGAGGCTGGGAGTTGGCAGAGGGGGTAAGTGAGCGTGCCGATTACGAATATGATATTGACAGGATTGGGCGAAGCTGGGTTTCAGCTGGTTAGCCCACTAAAAAGCACGGAAATGCATTTCGTTCCAAATCGCTTCTGCAACTTGGAATGCTTCCCTAGTGAGATACCCTCCTCTAATAAAATTGTAAAATAAACTTAGCTTGTGCAACTAGTTGAAATTGTAAAGGGAGGATGACTCTGATATAGCAATCACCTTTTGCGCTTCACCGTATTTGGCTGCTGGGAAGAAACTCTCTTCAAATCGGCGCATGTCTTGTCGACATTCTTCCAAGGCTCGGTCAATTCGTCGCGACATCTCTTCGAAACGTTGGTCTACATCGGTCCATTCTGGTGACCGTGGACGACGCCATAGAGTCATGTCTGTCTACAAAGAAGTTAAGGTATTTAGACGGAGGAATGAAAAGAAACGTCGCTTAGCACCGTAAGTTTCAGGAGACCGCGAAAAAGACAGAAATAACACAGAGGCAAGCATAAACATGAATGTGGATCAGATTCCTTTGATTCACACCTCTTCTAAAAAAGGAATTACTATGGAACATATGAGTTTCTAGATTGTTCGCTCATTGATACTTTCTTTTCGTAGTTAAAGTACCAATCTCAAAAACAGTGGTGGATTTCCAAAGAAGAGAGATGACAGAAATGTTCCGAGACGAGGAGGCGTGATAAACACACATTAGGTTGTATGAGTCTTTCTAAATTTGATCTTCCAAATTATTATACATTCCTGGAAACTAGCGCACTTAGAAGTGCAAATTAATGGCAGTATTTCTGAGTGAACAAGCCATATAATACACATGTGGTAGGAACGCAAAACCGTTAGAGGCGAATTAGTCAATCTATGCCATAATTTTTTTTCTTAGTTTCTACCTTTAAGATGCTAGAAAGTGTTTGTATAAATGTCTGAGATGGAGGGATATATGTTAACGAGTGAAAATTCGCAAAATTTTTCTAAACCGAAATTATTTTTTCTCGAGCGTTTGGAAGCGTTTTTTATAATTTGGCCTGAAAACCAGATGCGGACCAAACCTAGTGCAAACTTTCAAAAGCCATTGTAAGGCTTGCTTTGCTCTGTCGAATAGTACCCCGAATCCAATGGAGTAAAGAGGGGAGGCCCCCCTCCCCCTCAAGACTTGGTCGCGAAATATTTGAAAGTTATTTACATGTGTTATAAAAATGTGCCAGTCAATTGTCTGTACTTGTAGATAATCAAAATAAAGTTAAATTTTTTGAAATTTTTTTAAAAGTTTGTTTAGCCTTATGAAAAAATTTCTTTGGGGGAGTGGCTAACGCCCTTTTTTGAAACAGGCTTAACAGCCCGCAAAAATTTCAGAAAGCATACCGAAAATTTTTCCAATGGAGTAGCTAACGCATGCACCTCAACCAGAAGAAATTTTTTGTCCCCCCCCCCTCCGAACAAAAATCCTGGGTACGCTACTGCCACTAAGATAAGAAGAAGTAATCAACTCCCGTGAATTCAAATATGGAACTTATGAGACACCTTCATATTTTTCGTAAAAGTGTAAGCGACCAATTTCCCAATGAATGATTTTTTTAAGATGGGGTAAGAATCTACAAAGTTTAGGAGCTCATTATGGTTATTCACAAGCACGGACAAGATAAGATAGATAAGATAACAGATGAGCTAATTTCTGCAAAATTTCGCGACCAAATTGCAGAAATTCTTCTGTCCCCACACTTCACTCGCTGCAGCATATGCTTATTTATTATACAGGGTGTCCGTAAAGTATGTATACACTGTTTGATCGTTAATCTCTTTTCCCAAGAAGTCTTTTGCCTTGCGTCAGGAACCGTTTTGTAGAGCTGGCTTCAACTTAGATTTACAGTATGAAGCGAATCACCCATCTCTCCTCATCACTGTAGGATTATGGTGGCAACTTCAAAGAGGGTTTTGAGCCAAAGGCCATATTTTGCCTTAGAAAGGAAATAAAACAGCCTGAAAACTTTTATGCAAGGCTAATTAGAGTTGCTGATTCTAACGGTAAAGTTCCCAACTTATTATGATGCTTGATTGAAGAGTTCTGCCAGATAAGAGGTAGCGGCCTTTTTTTCAATGTTCCTAAAAAGTGCGGTTACACCGTTTAGAAGGCTTCTAATGTCGTGAATAGTTGAGTATTGAACTGAGCGTCCATAAAAACCCTATTGCACAAGATTCACATTTTTTTTTTGAAAAATTTTGAAACGGCACCTTTTTCCACATTGACACCATATGTTTCAAGTTTTCACCGTAATCCTACAGTAAGAGGAATGGATGATTCGTTCTATACTGCAAATCTAAGTTGAAGCCAGCTCTACAAAATGGTGCCTGAAGCAAGGCGTAAGACTTCTTAGAAAAAAGATATTAACGATCAAACAGTGTATACATACTTTACGGACACCCTGTATATTCACAGCTGGTTGACTAAAAGAACAGTGACAGAATTCAGCATTTCCACTTGCCGAAATGTTCAAAGCACTAAACAAATATTTTTGAAGATGAAGGAGAGTGGAAAGGAGTGGTCTAAAGCTCCCAGTCACTTGAACATGAAAAGGCTTTTACATCGAAACTGCCAGTTTCTGGAGGATTGAGATAGTAAAATGTACGTTCCATTCTAGCGTTTCAAGACTGGAATTTTGAAGTTCGCAACAGAAATGTTCTTCAAGGAGATGTGATACCCTTCAATCCATGTTCTGATTAAAGTGAGTGACAGAAAGGTAACTGAAATATTATATTCAGTAGTTTAGATTACTTATTAATGCTAGTGAAATGTGGTTAGCTTAGAACATAATAATGTTACCTCCGGTAGCTAAAACTGGTTTCGAATGAGGTTTACTCTTAGAACATGAAATATAAACCAATATGTATGTAAAGCTAAAAAGAAGTGAATTCATGTTATAAATCATGATAAAAAGTCTAGAACATTTTTAAAATAGTGAAAGGAGATTAACTTCAGAGCAGATGGACAGATGCTTTTGGGCCATACTTCTACTTACATATAGCATGTATTGAGAAAACAGCACCAGCTTGTTTCAGTATTACTATGCTTCAGAATCCATTTGCAGCTTGACAAAAAGTTATACCAACACAGAAGAACTTCCAGAAGGATCAGTGAATAGTTCGCTTAGAGCTGCTTCGATACCTACATGCAAATCAGCCCACTTGAATATGCAAAACCCTGGACCGAAAAACTACTTCCATAATAGAGAATGTTCAGTCATAAACCGAACTCTGACCCTTTATCCTATCTTTCTTTTCCAAAGAGTCACAGAATTCTTAGTGATCTTGCACCGTGATGTTTTTATTGCATCAGAACTGAAGATGGAAATTCAAAGAAATTTCGGTAAGATCGAGACTTCTGGGAGCTGGTAGAAACAGTTGGAGTACCGCAGATATCATCAAATTTGGAAAAAATGGTTGTAGATTGTGAAGGAAATATTGTTTTAACCGATATTTTGCAGTTGATAATGCATATTCGGCATAGTGAATTGAAAAGATGAGTGAAATAGAGACGAACAGATGAAATAATTCCAAATGAAAAAATCCAAAAAATTCAGGAATAAAACTAAAAGATTCCTTGAAGCGAAACAGTGAAATTAAAAACAAGATTTGGAATCTATTTCACATTCAAGATGAACCTGAAAAAAGGATATGAGATGCAATTTTCGGCACCAAAACAAATAATCCTTTTGAATCCTGATTCACAACATTGAAAAATGGGACTATGAGGACTAGAAAATTGAAAGACTTCAGAAATTGTAAGTGTACAGTACACTGTATACTCTTGATTTAATTCAATAACTAAGGCAGTAGAGAGTAACATCAATGGATTCGTGACAACTTGAAATGACATATATGGATCGGGTTTTGTAAAGAAATTCTACAATCCTTCAAATGTGAAAAGAACAAGAATCGTGTGTACTTAATACGATGTTTTGCTGTACTTAATGCGTTAATGTATTCTCAAAAACACCGATTCGATCGCCCTATCCGATCGTTACATTCGACACGCGGTCGGTCTTCAAAACGACGTGATGGAATTTTAATGCGATTTAATCAGCTGATTGCATTCGATGTTTGCCTTATATAACCAATGTAAAAGGAAAAAGAGTACATACGAAATGTTTCATTGGAAGTGTGATAGCTATTAGCAGAAATAAGTGACTAAAATTTTCCTTATTTTCATTTGCGTAAGAAAATTCGCGTGCCAGTATATGGAGATATATCATTTTCGTAAAATGAAAGAAAAATGCTGAAAAATGCACGATATGAAATCTAACATAGAATTTGTATTTCAAGATTGCATAAGGTTACGAGCAATCTATAGTCGAATCTCTCGTAACGCGCTTTTGTGCAATTGCACACAAAGTTCTGATTGCGCGTAAAATCGAGGATATGGTGGCCAATTTGGCGCATATCTTTCATGAAAGTTCGTTTATGTTGCCTTTTCAATTGATTTTCTACAGGTATTCAATAAAAAAGCAAAAATTCTAAAATATGCATGCAAAATGCCCTGCGATAACTGGAAAATGGTACGCAATATGCATGTCATGTGCAGTTACACATAATGTTATGAATCTCGGCCGCAATAGGCAACCATAACGTACATGGGATGAGGTAACTGGTAATAAAAATAAATAACTTGGTACGATGAGCAGATAAAAATTGAACTTTGAATCAAACAATGGGTTGAGCAATGAATACCTGAATACCTAAATTAGGCACCGCCTCCGCGGACTTCTGGTCCTTTTGCTTCACTGGTGAACATTGTGTTAGGACCAGAAGTCCGCCAAGTTGGAGTATTCGTTTCTCTACGTTCAGACATTTAGTTAATTCACGGAATTCCGCCTATATATAGACGCAAAATTTATCCCACAGCAACTTTCAAAAATTACATTTATTGAGTTTTTTTCAGGTTTTTGTCATCAGGGATGTGATAACTTGAGAAAGCGCATACATTGATCAGCTACTGTTATGAATTAAGAAATAGAAAAAATTTTCCAAGCAAAATGACTAAGCTGGGGAAGAATAGGCCTTGCTTGAGGCCGTCGCTAAGCAAAAGCAAATGGAAAAGGCAGCACTCGAATAGCATTTCGAAACGGACTGTGCATTCATAAGCTTCCCTCGACGCGCTCGAAAAGAAGTTTCTGGAAAATGGGCGGCGTTATGATAAACCGGGAGGAGACGTGGCATGCTGATTACGGGAAACACTATGGAAACGATTGGAAAAACTATTCGTAGTGTGAGGTCAACATGAGCAGTGAAAACGCGTAAAAGAAAAGGTAAAAAAATTGTTTTCATTTGAATCATGTGTTTTCGAGACATAATCAAACTCTACTGTTATTTTTCAGCTTTTACCAGTT